AGATTTGACAAGTGCATACTTCATCGCAAGTAGCCCCTTGTCATGAACTACCCAGTTCTTCTCTGCAGCTTTCAGCTGTCGAGATTCGATTGCAATCACCCGATCTCGCCCCTCGGCGTCTGCTTGCAGCAGTGCACAGCTGATGACAAAGTCCGAAGCGTCACGACGCCGGTGAAAGGACAATCAGGGTCTGGCAACGCCAGTATTGGTGCATGCAGGAGTCTGTCTTTGACCCCGTCAAAAGCCTCCTGATGCTCGGTGTTCCAACACCATTCCGCATCCTTCTTAAGGAGATTGGATAATGATCGGGCCATTTCTGCGTAGTTTACGCTGTACGTGTGCGAGTAGTTGGCAAGACCACGCTGCACAATGAAGCACCTTAACAAAGGGAATTCTCCCGCGCCAAAGATGCACGTATTGGCATAAGCATACAGCTTATTTGTGCGCATACACTCGAGTACCGCTCTCGAATGAACGATGTGGTTTTCCTTATATGTCCTCCCGTGCCTGCACGACTGTATGTAGCAAAAGTATGTCGGTGCATACGCCTGATGGGGCTACGATTAAATGTTGCTGGTTCACTTGACAACCCTTGAAGCATCACCAGCCATTCCCAAAGCATGCCGCTCGGAGTACTCACCGCTGTCTGCGGAATATCACTCGCTCTATGAGCGATTGGTAATCTTAATCGACCATGTCAAGTGCGTTGCGCTTTTGCAGCCAACCATATTGTTCTGGAGAACAGCCTTTCTAGGAATCGGTGATTGTGCTGGAATGGTGGCAGTATTTAGCTTATTATAATCGTGAACGATAGGCCAATTGCCGTTCGGCTTCCGGATACAAAACTTGAAGTTAAAATTTGGAGACTTGCTCTCACACACCATTCCTGCCTCGTGCTTTGCACAGAAGAAGGTGCCAATGACGTCACGCTGCTCTTTAGGCAGGGATTATTAGTGTGTTACAGTATTTTGTTCCCGGAACCAACTCGATTCCAAGACGCACACCTCAATCCGGAGGTAGGAACGACGGCGGGTCTTTGGAAGGCGAAAGATTAATACGAAAGAAATTGACATTGCTGAACACGGCGGGTCTTTAAAGGCAACGTCTTGAAACTCTTTCACCAAAGGATAGTACGGATGTGAGACGTTCTTCAGGATCGAAGATTCACTGCATGCGTTCAGCACCTTCTTGAGCTACGTTCCGATGCGACGGCGAGTTCATCTTCTCTTCTGGTCGGATAATGACAACTTCGGCTAAATCGCCTGCCTCCAAGGCAGCGCAGAACTTATTGAGGGACATCTCGTCTAGCTCAAAAAGAGCATCCAACTCAAAAATAGCTACGAGGGTGACATCGCCTTCTTTCACCCCCGTCATACTGTTGATGAGGGTGTGTAGTTGCGCGCTATCGTCTACGGTGAACGCAACCTGGGTCAGAGTCGCGTCTTGCAGCTATTTACGGCTTGGAGTTCTAATGTTATTAAGAACATCCGACGAAGAGCTGTTAGCTCCACCGTTTCAGTCAGTGGATAACGTGCCAGTCCACGCGCATCTGAAGAACCTTACTCAAGATGTCCCGGACATCGTCCGACCATGCCATTCGTGGAATGCAGAGCCTGCTTTGAGATGTGAGCAGTGCTCAGTAGATTTTTCGCCTTTGGTTTTTAGGATCTCGTCTGACCATGCCACTCGTGGCATGCAGTGACTGCTTTGAAACGTGAGTATTGCTCAGTGGATTACGTGCCACACCACATGCATCATTGGGGCCTTCCCCTCGATACCTCGGCCCTTGGCCCTTGCCCCTTGGCCGACCATGCCACGCATGGCATGCAGCGACTGCTCCGGTACTTGAGCAGCGCTCGATGGGTTGGGTGCCACAGTCCGCGAGCCATGCTCGAGACTCCTGTGTGATACACTTTGGTGTGCGTCAATCCAGCACGTTGTCCGTCTCGGTCTAGTGCCCGCGCCAATAGCGTTTTTGCCTCCTAGTAGTGGTGGATTTATGACTCACCAAAGCCCCACCGGGAAACGTGCGCGTAGCACCCAAGGTCTTCGACCTCTAGTCAATCCATGGTTCATGGTCTTTCAACCATGCCATACCAAGGAAAAGGTCATACTTTGGATTCAAATCTAAACCTAAGCATTGTCCCACGTCAAGAAACTTGACACTAAAGTCCAACGGGACCTTCAGCACTGTGTCACGTGTCCCTGTTGGTAAGCGAACAGTGACGATACCACTCAATCACGCTTTCAGCGCGTCAGCATACATCTGACTTCCTTCTATCCTGGAGCGTCGAGCATAATTGCCCGACGCCCTGGAGTTAATCAGGATTTTTAAGGCTTCTTAAAGCCCTTCACGGTCGCCTGCACGACCAGCAAGCCCGGCTTGCATATACGCTCCATGCTCAAGAGCAAGGAGCTCTTCAGGGATGGGCCCTTCTGATCTTTGCCTCGATGAGGTTCAACAGAACTCAGTTCTTTCAGCAGACCACCCGCGCCTACTGGATGTTGTCGTTTCCCCGTGACAAACCAGAAGACTGGTAAGAAGTGGGACGTCGGTTCGATGAACCTTGACACGCCTTGCGCAGGTGGCAACCAATCCGATAATGACGGGAGTCTCCACCGACAAAACACCGTCGAGTGTCTGAACGCTGATCGGCAGCTCGGATCTCTGCCTTCTTGTCCTCAATATAGCTCAGAGCCATCGGCTCAGACCTGCTAGACAAGCTGTGAGGGTGTGCATTCCAACCAGGTCATGCCGTCTAAAAGTTGATTTCGGCATTCCGTGCCATATTTACTGCTTCTTCAAGAGAAGACAAGTGAACAGGAAGGATTTCCATTCTGGCCACGCCAGAGCGGAGGCCTTCCATGAAGACGGTCACTGTGACCGCCTCGGGGAAAGGATCAGCTGCCATACCGGCAATGAGAGTACGCAACTCTTGAGCAAAACCCACCGATTTTTTCTTGCCCTGCCAGGCGGTAATGAAACGCGATCGCAAGTGATATGCTTGGTTCGGCGGCGAGAACACTTGTGAAAGCTGCAGCTTCTGCCGCCGCTTCGACGGAAGTGCCGCACGTCAGTGCCCGTCCTCGCGCTCGACTCCCGAGCTTGGAAAGATAGCTAGCGCCACGCGCGGTTGCTCGGTCTGGAGCATGGCGGACGCCATGACCATCTCGACCTCCCTCACCCAGAGCAGGAGATTCCCTCCATCTTTATCCTTGACAGGCTTAACTCTCACCATGAGCGGCTTGGGTCGAGGAAAGTCATCCGTCGCTGGCGGTGGCGTCATGGACGCGGTCGATGCCGACTTCGCCTGCTGCAGGTACTCTAACAGAGCATTTTGATAGCGTGTAAACGCCTCCAGGCGCGCGCCGATCGCTTCAGGTTCTTGCGAAGCGAGGTGTCGCATGCGCTAAGGGCAAAGCAGAGACATCAGCTATATAAAGCCCATCCTGCATGTTCTGGGTCAGAAAGGAGAACTGCTCCATCCTCACAGAGGGTTAGATTGACTACAAGCTACCAAGTGCAGCGGGCGTATCTCTTTCGCCTCGAGGAAGATTAGTCAAGGTCGGCGACCTACTTAGAACCGCAGCGGATAGCAATGCGCTTACTCCAAAAGTAGCAACAACCTTAACCCAAGGGTAATTAACTCTTACGTTCAAAAATGTTAGCGGTATTTTTTATTTGCGGCAAAGCCGCCTATATTACATCCATAGGTTTTCCTATCGAGATAGTGAAACCTATTTAAATGTATAAATACTGCTGTTCCTGTAACGTACTGATGTTGCTTAAGAGTTGCCACACCATTGTGTGGTCACGCCATTTTGTAAGAACCGCCATTTGTGTGAAAAACACCATTTTGTGTGATCCACACCATCTTGTGTGACCTCAATTCAATTACAATCTTAACATTCATCACTTAATATCTTCACTTTCAGACGTCCACCAGTTACACACTACGACAAAGTAATGTGGAAAGTTTAAATACTACAAAAACCGTAGCCTGTATGTTTACATAAACTTTAAACTAAGAAACAATCAGCTTAGGAAAAAACGGGATCGTTCGTGAATTTACAATTTCCTAGATGAGTCCGCGTGGAAAAACACAAAGAGGTGGTTTTTTTTTGTATGCGAACCGAGAACCTTACTTAATTCTTACATATTAATTTAAAATATCCTTTTTACGGTAGAATAAAAAAACTTTATGTACTGCATGAAACAAGGCGAACGGCCCACGTACGTTTACATATCTACGCATGATCTACGTTCACACCCACATCACATGGTGAAATTTTTGTTGTCGCAGATAAATTCGTACAAGAAAAGCTTGAGTGTTCAAGTAATATATTTCTTGTCGGCGGTTGTGGATTCAAACATTGCTGTCGTCACTCGTACTGACGTCTTTAAGGAACGTCAACGTTTCAGCTACCATTTTGTCCCACACAAAAGCAATTCGACTACAAGTCTAACAATCGCAGCAAGATTGAAGGGTGTGATGTGTAAAATATATTTGATCCTGAGCGTTTTGAGAATAAATTCTCACGAGCTTGTCACGCTGGTTAACAAGACAAACTACAACGTTAAAGGAGCCCAAAAAATATCGGTTACCAACTTGTGAAGACACACATGAGTGGTTGAGCTGTCCCAGCATTGACGTTTCCAGGATACTCTTGATCAATATAGTGCCTCACGGAGAGCTAAATCACTTCCATCTGGTGCTTCTAGTCTCTCTTATACTCATAATCAAGGCCTTTATATCTCGATCTTTTGTTAGCCTTCATGGAGCTAACAAGCCAAAGCAGTGCGGACTGCGCTTATTATAAATAGTCGGCACTTCTGTGTACCATTGTACACTTACTGCACCTTTCCGGATGCGTCGCAAGTGTCGACTTTTACTAGATGCTGGATTCCTTTTTCAGAACATTGAAGAAGTGCTCAATCGCTAGTGCCCAATTCTGTCCATTGTATCTCTTGGTTTCTTGCAGCACCTGATTTGTAGTCTATTGGTTCCTCAGATGCTGCCCCATTATCGGGGATTATCTCGGGTGGTTGCCCACTAAAGTGAACGCGTTTGGATTCTCCTTGCTGTTCATCGGCCGGGTCGTCTAGACACACACTAAGGTCTGCTGTGCTACCACTCTGGTCGGATGAACCTGAGGCCTGCGAGTTCCCTGATTGTCCACGTGAACGCTTTTTTACAGATCCAAATCCTGCAAGTCCCAACAGCTGAACACCATCTACACTCTCTGAGTGATCGCAATCGGGCGCCATTAACATGGGTGCATCCTGATCAGGAGCTTGAGACGAAATCTGACTCACAGGTGCCATTGGAAACATTGGAGGCATATTTCGCAGCGTTGGCGACAGCTCCAATCGATGCGTTATCTGAGAGTTTAACATTGTATTTTGTTGAAGCTGAAGCTCATCAGGAGGAAGTCCCACGCGGTTGCTAATGATCTTTGCTATTTGCTCGCGTGAATCAAAAGTCTGTAAATAGTATTAATGTCACTGCTCATCACATAATAGACCTTTAGTAATACACTTTACCTTAAAAGTGTACGAACGCGAAGATCCGCCAAATTTTAGTACGGAGCCGTGTAAAACGAGTGTCGGCTGCAATGCAGTCAACCTTAAACCGTCGACGAATGTTCCGTGAGCCGATCCAAGGTCGACTAAATAAGTTGCACCTTTTTCATGATGGACAATAGTCGCATGCAATCTCGAGATGGAGCAATGACTAAGCACAATGTCACACACAGCTGCATTTCTTCCAACAAGATAAAACGCTTTTTGATCCACAGTATGCTGCAACAAGTCATTTAAGTTCCACATTAGATGCAACAGAATGTTACTTCTCAATTGCAAACGCACCGTGGCAATAAGGACATGATCCTTATATACGTCAAGTAGTGAGATGGTTCTTGGTGGTTCATGCATGCACCTTTAGCAATATAAGTATTGATTTAAAAGAAAAAGAGATGAGAGAAAGAATGTATCGAGTTACCATGTCGGAGGGGGAAATGGCACTGTGGGCGGATCAATCGGGTCAAGAAACTTGGGCTGAGATACAAACGTGTCCAAGTGGAGAAGTCTCGGCAGCTGTAGAGCCTGTTCCATATTTAAATGCTCGAGCTGTTGCTGAAACTGAGGCGAAAGCTACAGTGACGTATGCGAATGAAACCTTGGCTCGACTGTTTGCTGCTGTGTCGGCAAGGGAAGGGGACAGTAAAGAAAACCCCACGAGCGACAGTACGACAAGCGCTTTTGTCTTCCTTTATCTTTTGCCAAGTCGCACGCAACGAGCGGACGAACAGATTGTTGTTGCCTAACGGGTCACTAGAGTGCTTTGGGGTGGGTACTGAATACGACCGGACACTTTTTTGGAATGGACTGGCCCTACACGATCACAATTTGACGTAATTGGTCCGAACGCATCAAGCCAGATTACACAATGGATACTACTTTTGACCAATCAAAACCTGTATTATAAAGCAGGTCGGACTATTGGTGGAAAAGACGTTAGTAGTTACGTTAACGAGGATGGAAGAGTGCGTTATCACGACGTCGTGTTTGTAGCCTTTACGCTAACTATTTCTCGACGTGTATCAAAGAATGTATAATGAACAAAAGAAGAATAATGAAGAGGTTAGAACGCGCTTTAGCAAGCGACTAGTGCAAAGCGGCGAGAAGGATCGACTGAAGGAACTGTTGCGTCGAAAGTTAGTCGAGTGCGGGTGGCATGATGAAATGCAGTTGCATTGTAAAGGTTTGTTAAATGATGTTCACCTAGTTAGAATCGGATTTAAATACTTGCCAATGGCTTCATAGAGATGATTCGGCATAAAGGTATCGACCAAGTGAGTGTAGAGGATCTAATCGAAGAGATTACACCTGTAGGAAGAGGTGCGACGACTTAGAAAGCTGTAGAGGTGGGTGTTAACGAGCTGAATGATTGCTAACTATTTTTGATCGAGCAGCCTCGGTGCCTGAAGCCGTTAAGAATTACCTACTGACAGAAATTAAAGCGTTAATTGTGAAGGAAGCTAGCGTCAAGACGGCTGAGATCAACTCTTAACATTGGACACCTTCTGGATAGATTTACCAGCCAAAGCTTAGATATTTCATGAGGGAGCAAGTAGGACATTTGTCAAGTTCTCAAATAATCTATAATTGACATGCTTAAGTAACGACAGCTGACGGTCACAAATAGAGGCGATAGGGACACTCACGGGGCACGCGCAATTTTTACATGTAACAAAGGGGTGGCACTATTTTGAGACGAATATATTACCATCATTACGTGCACCACTTCAGGAACTCGTATACCACTCACAAGCTCACCCGTAAACATGGTAGTAAGACTGCGTCTGGCCCGGTGGGGACGCAAGGACGTTCCGTTTTACCGCATTGTGGCAGCAGACGCCCGTGCTCCGCGCGATGGAAAGCACTTAGAAATTGTACGGTATCTTTTCAATAATGAACACTTAAATCAGCGAGGATCTTTATTCATCTTTCACCATTTGTAGCTGGGGACATATAATCCCATCGCTGCCAGCGACGGCGTAAAGGAGCTTCGAGTGAACAGTCAGCGTGTACAGTATTGGATGTCTGTAGGCGCACAACCCTCCGACCGTGTGTCGTATCTCCTGGGTCTCGCTAATGTTTTGCCAATGCCACCAACTCGCCAGCACACTAAGAAGAATATACCCAAGAAGGACCGCGCATGAAACTAAACACAGAAATCGAAAGCTTAAAGCTACAGATATATGGTCAGAGCAACTTGTATGAGTCATATTAATCTAATTACTTTTTAGATATACGCGCTCGAGGAGCAGGTCCACGAGCGGATCCTCCGCCTTTGAGCATGTTGCCGCCCTTGCGCACTTGCTGATTAAACGTAGCATTCTGTTCCTCAAGCCAGCGACGAATTTCCTTTTGCTTTTCCTCCTTAGCTGCCAAACGTGTCTCCTCTTCTTTCTGTTTCTCGCGGTGAATGAATTCAGCGTCCCGACGGAGCTCACGAGCTGCACCCTTGCGCGCACGTTTCACCTGCCGCTTTAATTGCTTTAGTTGTGCAGCGTCTTTCGGTGCCATCTTGTCCTTACGCACCGAGTAATTCTCATCAAAATTTGGTGCAAATGTCGGCAACGTCACTGGGGCAAAACTTTGCAATCGAAGTGGACGACGGGCGTCCCAGCACGACTCGAGACGAACATGGAGCTTGGAGATGACAGCATTTAATTCCACAAGCGTTATAGTATTCAATTGCTTCACAAGAGCATGTAATAAGAGATAGAGCGGATAAAATAACTCATCAAACGACGGCAACGATGCGTATTGAGCCGATGTAGCATCCAGTAGAACCAGCAGTGAGCTCATCACATGGGTGCCGTTGCATGACGACTTTTTTGCCAGTGACAAGCGGGGTAAGAAAGCAGGTGTTTTACATTCAATGTGAGCAGAAATCCATTCCAAGAGATCTCGACGTAGCCAATAAGTCGAACACTTTTCATCTTGGGCTCCTGACGACACAAAGGCTCGAAAAGCTCGAGTAAGAAAAGTTACAATCTCTGGCATAAAACGTTCTTTTGCCCGTGTCATATCGAGCGAGAGAGATGCAGCAAAAAGAGCTTGAGTAGCCTCCTTAGTAGATCTCAAAGTGCCACGTGCCAAGCTTTCACATAGCAAAGTTTCCATGGGAGATACAACATTGTGTCGAAAGTCCGATGTCGGGAAAATCAAAGTCAAGGCTCTAAACAGCAACAACTCGGGAAGTGTGGGCCAATCAGAAGTTGCAGTTCGTTTATGCAACCGCTTGAATAGTTGCGCAAGTAGTTCGCGTATGACCACAGCTGCTGTATCTCCCATTTCCTGAGCCAGTGTGTACATATTCCTCGCCATTGAGTCTAACTAAGGAAACATAAGATATATTATGTCAGTGAGAAATAAACAATCTATAGTTTAAAACCCATACGCACGTCTTGCTTGTGATCCGCATACCGCGACGCATAGATGAGAAACTGACGCACTAATATTGCAAAAAAGCGCTTCATCTTGTTCTTGTTCTCGACACTTAATCGTGAATTGTAAAATGTCAAGATACGTACGACAATTTGATCTCGTTTCTCAGGCGAGTTTTGTGCATGCTGTTCAAACAGTGCTACCAAGTCTTCAATAGACTCAGGACACTCAAATACGAATGGGAGTTCAGCAGCAGCTTCTTTAGCGTCCTGTTGCTTCTTTTGTTTATCTATATTCAAGTCACTCTCGACGTCTCGTTCTTCGCGCTCGTTCATCTCATCCTGTTCATTTTGGTCTTCTTCCTTTGTCAGTTCTTCCTCATTCTCCGACTCATCCTCGGACTCATCCTCTGAATCTATCTCACTGCTATTTTCAGCCTTCTCTTTATCCTCTTCATTAATAGCAAAAGCGTCAATTGCATAGCCGTCCGTCAAATCATCATCAGTAGGTGGCATGACAATTACTTGCGGCAATTTCTCATTCATTTTCTTTTGCTTTCCTTTTGTGCGTTTTTTATCATGGCTAGTATCATCTACACCATTCATACGACCCACTCGCTTCTTTTCCAACTCAGCCAGTCGATCACGTTCCTTTGCCGCAGCCTCTTCTGGTGAGATTCGACGCTCTGACGCTTTGGCCCTTGCTTCAAACGCAAACTCTCGTGTTAACTTGTCAAAATCGTCCATTGGCTCACTTGACAATAATTCCTTGCCGTTTGCACGTGTAGGACGGAACTCCAGCAGGTTTCGTACGTCATTAAATCCATCATCTAATTTGGATGTCGCATCTTCTTGCGAGCTCTTGTTTTTCTGCCGTTCCGCCTTGAAAAGCTTTGCTTTCATCATGACTTCGTGCATCACTTCCTTATGCGTCTTACGCCGCCCAGCTCCCTCATCAGCATTCATTTGCCCACCACCAAAGTGCAATTTGTCCACAATTTCCCTATCCATCTTCCAACTTTCCTCCGACTCGTCGTCATCCAATGTACCATCACGATTAAGCTCATCATAATCGTCATCGGTAATTTTTGCACCTTTATGCGTTAAAAAAAAGGCATCTTCTTCGTCTTCCGAGTCTGAATCGTGCAGTGCAAAGGCTGATGCATTGCGTAGCTTGCGCTTGCGTTCCGTTTGGAACCGCGCCATCATTTTGTCCTCTATCGACAATGTCGAATCTTGCTCACCTAATCGCTTGTCCTTGAATACGTTGCTACGATTGCGCGCGTTAAATTCGGTGCCCAGAGTCTTGCGGCGCTTGCGCTCGGCTTCGGCACGTGCGGCAGCCACGTTACGACCGGCGCCTTTAACGCGCCGTCCAATAACTTCGTGCTTTTGTTTTGTAGCATTTCCACGTACGTCAAACGGGTTGCTTCCCTTAGAGCTACTAGCACGCACAAATCCATGCTTCGGGTACTTGCTTGAAACCTTCTTGCTGCTGCTTTTCTTAAGCACCATTGCAGCCTACAAGTGCTGTCGTCCAACCACGTTTATCTTACAATACACTTGATTTACGAAGAAAACTATTATCGGTAACGAAAACTAAAGGGAATATTTCAAAAGGCGGAGAATGTGACACGTTTTGTATAAAACACCAACTGGCACTCATTACTCAACAAATGCCTCAAAGAGCACAAGAGAATGTTTTCATACGTGTGAAAATCGACGTAGAATTTACTCTTCATTTTTTTGCTTTTTTAAATAATATGCTATTAACAAAAGAACATTTTGTACTCAAATCTCAAATTTGTTTATTGATGCCATGTACTTTGATTGGTAGGATTTCTTGAACAGATTTAAAACATTAGTACAATATAGCTAAAAGCTGTTTTCCTTATTTAAAATATATATGTGTACCACAACGTGAATACAAATGATGAGTCGTCTCCCCTTCCTGTGCGCCGTTATTCCACTAGAAATTGGATCCGTTGCCAATTTCCTAACGATTGCATCTGATATTCCAAATCAGAATGAAGTCGTCGATTGGGACGATACTAAAAGTGTTGAAAGAAATCTCGTGACTGTTGACAATGAGATGAGAATGCCTGTAAATGCATTAACGTTGACCGAAAATTTGGAGACTGTCGCAGAGTTGGTTGCGACGTCACTTGCTCAAAACAGCGAGAATAACGCGAAAAACGTGGCGATAATCATGAACCATTGGATGGTTAAAGGTGAACATCCGGACAAAATCTATGGTGACATGGGAAATATTGATTTGCCAACGTTTAACGCGTGGATACACTACATCGATGTGTACCTGTCGACACATGTCAAGAAGTCGATGAATCCAATTTTATCACTTCATCAATATCTTTCCCGTCACTCTGACGTAGTGATCACTGCAATTGCCACAAATGGTCTTGAAACAAGTCATTCCAACTTTTACCGTCAGCTGCTTTCCTATCTGACGTGCTATTGGTTTAATAGCTTTAAAACTACAGACGAAGTCGACATGCTGCTCAAATTAGTTAAGGGGGAACACCTCAATGTGTCTTTTATGAAAGCTGAGTACAAGCAGTATTACGAAAGCATGAGCCATCCTGAGATACTTGGG